TATATTCAAGAAATGTTGGCCGAGCGTGAAAATTATTGTAAAGAAACTTTCCAATCACTTGTAAACAGTAAAATTTATCACATCAAGACAATGCAATATGTACTCGTTTCATTGTAGAATTTTATTGCAATTTCGATAACGTCATAGTAATCTTAAAATTTCCATTTCTGAATCTAATTTTTAAAATAGATAGGTACATAACGTTTATACTTGCCGTTTAATATGAAACTTTAGATAGACACAACCCGAAATTCAGAAACACAGATCAATAAAAATTTTGTCAAAATTAATGACAAAGCGCTGTACCACCAACTGTTATAATAATATAATTGAAAGCAAATAATACATAATATATTTCTGTTGAAGTACCCACATAAAGAGAGTCCATAAGTAACTTTCTATAAATCACAAATTTCTAGGGACATTACTATGTATTTTAAAGTTATGATTGACAATAGACATACCTTAAGAGAAATGAGACACATTTAGTTAGTAGTGTTTAGTAGACACAAGTAGATATGGAGTTATCACGGGGGGCTACTCATAAATGAAAAGTTTTATTAAGGGATACGGGAACGAAAAAAGGTTGGGAACGCTGTCTAATGGTAGCAACAAAGTCGCGTTTAAGCTTTCGATAAATTGCCAAGAGCATAATTAGTCAAACGAGTTTGTTTGTGAGGTGATCTGATGGCCTGTGGCGTCCTTAACAGCTTCTTGAAACATTGCAAGAAAATGTGCAAGAAAAACTATTTTTTAAATTATATACGGGGAGGCTTTGCTAAGGGTACCCATTTTTTTATTAAATTCTAGACATATATAATGTTATATAAAAATGATAAATATTTAAAATCACCCGTAATTAATTAATTACATTCATTTGAAATTATCTCAAAAAGTGCGTGATTTATAAGCATCTCATTTATTTTATGCGCGATCATTCATAACTAACACGCACACAAGTACGTTTCAAAAGTATACGACGCCGTGCCGGCACGGTTATCGCGAGTGATTAGTTTTGTTTGTGTGCGTGCACAGTAAAATTTAGGTATTTATGAATGAATATACATTGTCAACACGTTCTATTTTTTAGGGAATAGAATCGCAATTTTTTTGAAAAATAAATTTTGTTTTTAAATAATAATAATATCAATAAACGATAATATTATCGAGTCTGAACCTCCTGTATGAATTTGGGCACCTTTAGAAAAGCCACCCTGTATATAATCACTACATAGTATAAAACAAAGACGTCCCGCTGTCTGTCTGTCCTTATGTATGATTAGATCTTTAAAACTACGCAACGGATCTTGACGCGTTTTTTTTAACTAGATACGAGTGACTCATGAGGAAGATTTATATGTATAATACATTGCAACCGGGGAAGATCGCTAGTTTATTATATATAACAATTTCGAGAAACTTTTCGTATTTTTTTCCATAAATTTTAATAAGTCTTTAAAAAATTACAATTTCAAGTTTCATCTTGAGTGCGGAGACTAGTAGAATAATAAAAATTCCAAAATTCCAAAAAAAAAACTCCAAAATTTATCTCTCGTTACAAATATTCATCGTTGAATGATCTTTTCAAGGTGGTTTATTCTGTAAAGGATGCATAGTACATGGCAAGTGTTGCTAAGAAAAATTACAATTTAAAGTTTCATCTTCGGTGCAGAGACTAGCAAGTAACAATTAACAAGTAAAAATTAACTCCAATATTTTAGTCCACTCCTTCCAGACACTTCTCTTCCACACAAAGAAGTCACGACGTTCACACTCTCCGTCACACGCCATATTCACCAAATCGTTGTAACCAATTTTTTACGGAATTTAACTTTCCCCTACCCGTTTTTTTTTTACAATTAGTCGAACTACAGCTTGAACAGAACTTACCATATAAATATTCTTCAGCAGATATACATCCTTAATTTTATATCATGTAACAATTTACTTGAATATGTATGTTGCAACAAATAATAGGTGTCGTTTTAATGAATAGACTTCTAAGGGAACGATGTGTAAGGGAGAGGTGTAATACTGTTAGTATGAAAGACTCTATATATTAATACGTGAAACTTTTGTACTACTTGTAAAAACGTTTTAAACCTTTTTACGAAAATTGCGCGGAGAGAGGAGTATTAATTAAATAAATTTCCCACACTTATAGATTATATAGAGTGCAGAATGCACAGTAATATAGTTTTAAACGCAGGCCACGCAGCAGCCTCGGCTGTTGCACGAATGGGCAGGCCCGTCCGGCTAAGTACCACGACCTCACAGAAGACCGGCGTAAAGTGGAAGTATGACAAATACTTTCGCGTTTCGTCTGGTGAGTGAGGTGGCCGGAGCCCAATTTTCAAAAGGTTGTCACAACGCATCTGTAACCCTCGGGTGTAGAGGATGTCCATGGGTGGCGGTATTTACTTAATATCAGGTGAACCGCCTGCTCGCTTGGCAACCTTTCACATAAAAAAAGTGTTTGATTCTACTTTACTGCCCTAGTCATTTTCTTTCTGTTTTACCTAGGGTTAGCTGGTAGAGAATGCAGTATAGCATTAAGCTCGCCTTTGTACTATAATTTTAAGTGCAATAAAGATAAAAAAAAATAAAAAAATAATATATATTAAATCAATAAAAAAAAACATTACAAATTTTCCACATGGTAGTGTATTTGACACAAACACACACTTATATACTCTTTTGTTCATTGATAGTCTGTGGTCAAAATAGAGAATAGATTAATATTGTTCAAATTTATTATTCAAATTTCAACCTCTGGGTGACCACTAGTAGTAAGAAATATCTTAAATATTAAGTACAATGAATTACTTAAAAATATTCAAAGTGTGAGTCAAACAATGTATGTTCAATGGAAGAGGGATTAAAGATTTTCATAAGTTTTAAGTATTATTTTTTTGTCTTAAGTATTATTTCATAACTTTTAATTTTTTTATAGGAGGGATTAACGATTTTCATAAGTTCCGCAATCGAACAAAACTTTGTTTGTATAATTATGTTTGTATAAGTTGGTGAATGAACGACAGGCGAGAGGTATGTCAGGATAGCATCACAGAAGCTCATATATTGGGTCCATAATAAAACCAACCTTCGTGTATATTACAAGTATGTTTCTTTTTTATTTCACACATATTTCACAGGTGGAGTTTAAATTTAGCCTTTTACAAGAAAAAAAGAAAGTAATATTCAATAAAATATTTACAATTACAAGAACCAACAGACGCGTCAGATTAACAATTTACTTAACACTAAGTGAAAATAATAACGCGGCGAATCGTTTCTCGTACACTGGAAATTATTTGTATCTCTTTGCAAGCGTCATAAAATGGCGTCCGTGTACATGAAGACATTATTGGCCTTTCTAATTCGCCTTCATCAATTATAAACTGCTTTCATAATAGACTCCTTTATAACAAAAATAGTCTCCGACACCGGACGAGGACGATTTTAATAGTCTTTAAATAATCTAATTTCGAGGCAAATTACAGTTCCCATCGATGAGAGGTTTTTAGAATGTATACTTAGTACAGCTAACCTTCGAAGTGACAATATATAAAATAGAAAATATGTACACGTGAAAAACCTATCATCATCAAAATGGCTACGATTAGATGTACCGATGCCTACATTACAATCCGCGACTGTTTGCAAAATATTATATCAATAAATACCAAAAGACAAATATTAAAAGGCCGCGCAAAACTTAAATGCCTATATCGAGCAATAGTGAAAGTAAAATTTATAGATACTGGAGAGATACGTTGGTACGAAATAAAGTGTTCCCTCTCTTTCGCGCCGCAGTCAAAATAGCTTTCTGTCCCGCTCCCACCACACGTTGACAGTCGCGAACAATGTTGCTGTTCGATTTTGTGGACATACAAGATTTTTTCACTGGACTGTACATTAAGTTTTGCGCGACTTACAAATCTATCATCAGTTTAATTAAACGCTTACATTTGAACAACAATCAAAGAGCGAGCTTATTACATGTGCAACAAGGGTCACTTTCGCATGCAGCTATATAAATCTATTAAGGGGGACCGTGCACGTGAACGAACTTATAATGGACAGCGATATGTCAGTTGCGTAATAGGACGGCGGTTGAAAAATATACTCTCCTACTTGGCTACTTTGGCTATTTCATTTTTAAAAAATAATCTCCCACATTTCATATAATCGAGTGTTCTAAAATTTGTCTATTGGATAATGTATATACATTTGTTATCGACTTACATAGAGAGATAATATCTGTAGTTTCCGATTAAATGTTATTTTGTATTTCATAGAACTTGGAATATTTCCTCAGTACGAACAGTTGATTGTTAAATATATAATTCAGGCCGCTAGTAAAATTTTGACCAAAAAAGTTAACAATATTCAGTCTATCCGTATAAATATTTATATTTATAACATTATCTAAAGACTCAGTGTTATAATATAGTTTAAATAGAGCATGACGATTACTTTGTATAGAGAAAGATCAAAAAGAACAAACGAAAATTCCACCACAAATACAAAACGAATTTTATTCTACCAGCACCTCGACGTAATATGTTTTGTGTTCAATTTTATGCGTTTCTTATACCATTTCATAAGGAGTTCAGACGAAAAACTTTCTTTCCACACAGCCATACGTTATTACATGAATAAGTTATAATAATAATAGTAATATTTATTATAATAATAATAAAAAAAAAGAAAAACGAAACGAGAATAAATAGTACACGATTTTTGGCTACGTAATCAGCGAAATGAATCGGAGACTGAGAGTTGAGAGAAGAGTTGGTGGGAGTGGGGGAAAGAGAGACTTGATCACGCTCGTTCCCACCTCTCGACGCAAACACGGGCTCTTATTTAGGCTACAGGAACGTTTCAATTTATACGTATACGTGCGGGCTAAGAATCGAACCCGGCACCCGGTTGTGGACAGGCGGGGCCACGCCCTCCGGCTACAGCAGGCTGCAGCTGTGGCGGGCCGCTCCTCATTCCGACTCCTCGTCGTTCTCGTCGTCGAAGCCGCTCAGCTCGGCCGACTCGAGGTGGCCGTGCATCACCTGCAACGAAAGGTGGGTACATGTGGAGTCGGTGACCTCGATGACGTCACTATGAGCGCGACGCACGCACACACCATTGTAATTAAAAAAACAACATAATTTAATATGTATATTTATTTATTTATTTACACTTTATTGTACACAAAAAATAAAAATATATAAAAAGCAAATTACAAATGAATATAAAAGGAAGTACAATAGGCGGTCTTATCGCTCAGAAAGCGATTTCTTCCAGACAACCATTGTGAAAAGAATATTTGCTAATGAGACATAAAGAAGAGAACAGAGGGAGGTGTACATGAATCACTTATGAACATCGGATGAAGGCATTTATACTTCAATGAGATAGTCAAAGATTTCGGGAAAAATAGGAAAGGAAAAAGGAAAGCGTGAATTCACAGTTCCAAGTAATGAGCTTTTAATAGGTTTTTAAAAGAAAGAAGTGACTTAGCTTGTCGAATGTGAAGGGGCAAAGAATTCCACAAACGCACAGCTGTCACTGTAAAAGATTTTTTGAAGAAGGAAGAGGAATGCACAGGAGTTTGGAGGGAGAGATTGGCAGAAGAACGAAGGGACCTTTCATGGGATAAGGAAAGATATTCGAAGCGATCGTTTTAAGTATTTCGGAGTAGAGGGATTAAACAACACACTGTACAAAGCAGAGAGAATATGGGTATTCCTGCGAAGGCGGATTGGGAGCCACTTGAGCTGTGTACGAAAATCGGAAACATGATCATATTTACGAAGCCCAAATATGAATCGAAGACACAAATTTTGAATCCGCTCAAGTTTATTAAGCTGTACTTCGGTAATGTCAAGATAGCAAATATCAGCATAGTCAAGGACGGGCAGAAGTAGTGAATGAGCGAGCGCAACTTTGGTAGCAGTAGGAAGAAAATTACGCAGTCTTCGTAAGGAGCCTATACCAGAGAACATTTTCTTACTAGTCTCATTTATCTGTGGTGTCCATGCCAGACAGGCGTCAAAAAATATTCCCAGATTCTTCACCTTTTTACTGTACGGGATGTGAGTACCGTTAAGAATAATTGGGGGTAAAGAAGACCAGTCGATTTTAGCGGCCAACCTAGAACTTCCGATGATGATGGCTTGAGTTTTCGTAGGATTGATAGTCAAACCATATGCCTTACTCCAATTAGAAATACAGGCCATGTATACCACTAACGCACACAATTGTACAGTGGGCAAAAGAAGTGATGCACCGGCACAGCAAAGGCCATTCGCGTCGGGTTCGCGGAAGATTGCACACACGTGTTCCCGTGTCCCCGGCCGATGCGACAGAGAGAGGTGCAATGTGGGTTTTTTGGTGGGTACCCGTTTCTCGCCGGAACTCCCACATACCCCTGCCACTCCCCCGATCCAGGGGAATCCGTAAAGGATTTTTCCCACGGAGAAAAAAAATGCAAAAGAATTGATGATAGAAACTTCGGACATGAACGAACACTTATTAATTGCATGAATGGTACTTGACTAAAGGCCCATTTACATGATGCCAGTTTCTTGCCTGTTGTATACAATTAAATTGAAGCAATAAATGAGTTGCATGGTCTAAACAACAAATGGTCTAAACAATTATTGCGCGCAATTTATTGCATTCAATTATTGCTCTTGTATGTTCAAGAAAATGGCATCGTGTAAATGGGCCTTAATAGAGCGCGGGTGTCCGAGTATCACTACCTCCTAGAAGACCGGTGTAAAGTAGAAGCGTTACACTTCTGGTCTCTACACCAATTTTTTTAAAGGCGGCAACGGATCTGCCAACCTACGGGTGTTGCGAATCAGATGGACAACCAGGTCGTTTGCCTCACTCACATAAAGAAGAAGAGCTTCGTTACTGTTTGAATACTCACGGCGTACTCGAGCAGCGCCAGGTGGCAGAACACGTATTGGTCCGGCATCTGTATGGAGTGCGCGCGCTGCGCCCTGATCCGCTCCACGGCGCCGCGCACGTCCGCCACGCCCTCCGCCGCCAGCCGCGACGTGCACACGTCCAGCGTCAGGAACGTGCCTTAATCATCATTATTGTTATTACTTCAGCGTCAGTAATGTCTCTTGAGGGGGGAGGGGGGGGGGGGGAGGGGCTAGGTACATTAGGACCATCTTTTCAACTCAATTTCAGTGACGCAGGGGGGGGGGGGCACCAGTACCATCATTTTAATTAATTTCAGTGACTTGGGGAAGGGGGGGGGGGAGGCACACCAGCACCGTTTCAGTGACAGAAGCCGGCTACCACGACTCCGATATGGTCCTACCTACAGAGCGCTGTTTGTGTATGACGTGACAATTGAGGTTGTAAGACATATACGCGTCCCGTACAGCCTACGACAAAGCACGGTCCAAAGACGTTAAGAACTGCAATCTTGCATTTCGAGTAGACTTCCTCCACGCAGCCTTAGAGCAATCTATGGCCAAATGGTATAGTTACTGTGAAAGAGCTATGCAACATATTGCTGCATGCTGTGACGCAGAGAGGCAGGTTCGTCCGCACGGGGTGAAATGGAAGTGTTATACTTGGACGTTCGTCTGGTGAGCGAGGTAACCGGGATCCACTTTAATAAAAGCTGTCAACAAATCTACAAACCTACGGGCGTTGCACATGTCGCTTATCGGTTATCGCTTAACACCAGGTGACCCGCCACCTCGCTTGACATTCTCTTACAAAAAAATAAGACTTCTTGTGAATAATATAAATATTACGAACAAACATAAATTATTTCTACCCACAGTTAAACTGCGTAGAATACGTAAATATTTTATGGCACAATGTATATACGATTTTCCGACAAAAACTCAAAAATGAATCAGATGCTAAATTAAAAAAACATTGTTTAAAAAACGACTTTATGTTAAACCTATTATTATATTTAGTTTTTTAAAAACATTGCCCTGTGATGCCCAAGAAATTATAGAACATGTGCTGTAAGGACGTTTTAAAAATATAAATTTCACGTGGACAAACACCCAGATACGAAACAACTATCTGTGGCACGAACAAATAGTTGTCCCGTGTGGGAATCGAAACCACAACCCCCAACGCCGAAGCCGGATCTTGGCAACTGCGCCACTGAATATTTAAGTCCACTTGAAAGACCGGACTTTAATATACTGTAAAAACGTTTCTTTGTTTTCTTATTTTCTGTATCTTTATGTTTCTGTTTCTTTATCTTTTATTGTTTTCTGTTTATCGGTGCGTCTCAAGTCAGTGGATTTTTTTCCTATCCATTAGTAGTAGTTTGACAATCAATAAGTGAGTATAATGTTTCTGTATTGAATAAAGACATCTAGATTCTATATTGACGACCCGAATGGCGTAGTGGGTAGTGTACCTGCCTTCTGCGCCAGAGGGTGTGGGTTCGATCCCCACTGCTGGAAAAATATTGTGTGATCAGCATAGTGTTTTTCTAGTGTCTTGGTGTTTATATATGTATAATGTGTATTTATTTACAAAAGAAAAGTATGTTTAAGTATGTCTATCAGTTTTCTAGCACCCATAGCTATACAAGCGTTGCTTAGTTTGGGACTAGAGAACGTTGTGTAAAAAATGTGTCCCAAAATATTTATTTATGTATTATTTATTTATATTGGAATATGAACATTGAAATAACATTGACACCGTTACACGTACCGGTTCTTCCGATGCCGGCCGAACAGTGGACCACTATGGGCGGTCCTCTACTGTGCCCCGCCCACGCGTCTCCCAAGCTGAAAACGAAAACAAGGTTATTATCACTCACTACACAAAAATTCGAACTGTATGTACCTAATGAATTAGCGTTTCATAACCTTAGAGTGAATGATGCTCTTGTTTACGTGGTATAGTGTTGAGGTAGCGAGTGCCAAGTGGTGCTAATGTAAAGTACACATCACTATTGAAAATCACCCTTCTCCAATATCCAGTGCATGAGTTTGTATGAGTGTGCGTGCGTGTGTTTGAGTGTGTGACTGCGTCGACGAGCTTGATCTTCTGCCATTGTCGCACTTAATTTCAAGTGTACGAGTTGATGTGCTTGTAAGATGCGTGTGTAATGTACTTTGTATGTATTGATAAAAATGTTCTTACTTTACAGCAAACACTTGCTCAAATGACATTTTTGATTGACAATAAATATTTGAAATCTAGAGTCAGCGCGCAGTCGCGTCTGGACGCGTAACCCGGTAGGCGCATGTTTGAATTTTTGAAGCGACATAAATCTTTCTATAATATTAAATACATATTTTTATATTAAAAAAAAATAAAAAAGTTTGTGTTTGCACACCGCAAACGTCAGACTTCATGTGACGACGCGAGCGAATTAATAAATAAGTGCGTGCGTGGTGCGTTCGTGCATGTGTGTACGTGTGGGTGTGTGTGGGTGGGCTGCGCGTGCGTGTGCGTGCGTGGTGCATTAGTGCGTGTGCGTGCGTGTGGGCGTGCGTGAGTGTGCGCGTATGTACGTACTCCGCGAGTGCGGCTCTCTGTGCGCGTCGCACCAGCTGCAGGAAGCGCAGCACCGGCTGGGCGCGGCCCCCGCCCGGCACGCCGTAGTCCGGCCAGCGCACGTACTGGCCGTGCCAGATGCGACGCGACTGCTCCGTCTGCCGGAAATGCCGGTACAACAAAAATAAGCATCTGCCCTATGCCACCGTAGAAAGAATATGTCGCGTCCGACAATCTATTACCGATTAATAATGCGACGTGGTTCGTAGAGGTTCTAATTACTGTGTTTATGTTTATGTACCAAATAAATATTTGTCTTTCTTTCTTTCTTAGATTTGTGCCATTGTATATATAAAGCCCATCGAAACACGTATTCCAATACGGTTGAAAACGCAGCGTAAAACCCACGAAATGTGTGCTATGGAATAATGTCTTTTTTGTATTTTTTCAGTGTCCACACCCAGACATATTATACATTATATACGTATAATACGTATTTATTTACAAAAGAAAATTATGTTTAAGTACGTTTATCAGTTATCTAATACCCATAGTACAAGCGTTGCTTAGTTTGGGACTAGAGAATGTTTTTTAAAAAATGTGTCCCAAAATATTTATTTATTCTTCACTTATTGATATAAGATGACTCCGTGATGCAGTTGCCAAGGGATATAGGCATTGGCTTCGGCGTCGGGGGTCGTGGGTTCGATCCCCACACGGAACAACTATTTGTGCGATCCACAGATAGTTGTTTCACATCTTGGTGTTTGTCCGCGTGATATTTATGTTTGTAAACCGTACTTACAACACGGGATAGTGTTATCCTAAAGTCTAAAGTAAGGATGTTTTTTTTTAAAAGAAAAAAAATTTAATAATACTTACTTCCTTACTAATCTTACCTATTCTTATCTTCCTTACTCTACATATATGGAACCATAAAGGCGTAAAAACTTGAAGTTTGGTATTTTCCTTTCGCCGAGTAGAGGTCAGCTAAGAACGGATTCTACGAAATGTTACCTGTATGGTCCGCTAGTCCTTACTAATATTGTAAACGCGAAAGTTTTTATGTATGGGTGGATGTTTGTTGCTCTTTCACACAAATACTACTGAATGGATTCTAATGAAACTTTACAATAATATAGCTTATACATCTTATACGGTGGTAGATTTTTGTTGACGTTCAATAAGAGCTTAAGTTAGGCCTATATTGAATAAATATACTTTGACTTTGACTTTGACTTTGACATCAGAATAACACATAGGCTATATAATTCATATACGTATTTTTATGTATATCCGTCTTTCTGTCCGAATGTTACGCCTTCAGCCTGTTCTACGCAGGCGTAGTCGCGGGCTATGACCACGAATGTTGTCCTTAAGGGCGATTCAAACAAAAAAAAGTGGATGATGCGCCCGCCCACCCTCAGATCGGTGAGCAGCAGGTGCGACACGGCGTAGTCGTCCTCCGCCTCCACCGCCTCGGTGGCGACGGCGAACGCGCCGTGCACCTGGCTGCCGCCCGCCGCCGGCGGCCAGTACTGGCCGCACTTGACGCGGCCGCGCTCCACCGCGCGCGTCGTCATCACCACCACGAGGCTGCCCTGCTCCCACACCATGCGCCAGAAGTCGCCGTACGTCTTCGGCAGGGGGCCTGCGGTTGACAGGGGCACGAAGTGAACGAACACCCTATACGGGCAAAGTCGCGGCCGAGAGCGGCTCACGCGCGATCGAAGTTAAAACCTATACGGGCAAATTCACAATCACACGGGACCAAATAGCTAAACGAGCAAATTCAAGGCTGAAGTACTAGTTTTCCGCCGGCGGAAACTTAAAACTTCTGTATTCAGTGCCTACGTTATTTAAACGCGCCCAGGTGGATCCCGACACGGGACGAAAGTAAACACCTATGCGGGCAAATTCACGGCTTAGAGCGATTTGCACGGGATCAAAGTGAGTACCGAGTACGGGAGTAAAGTAGTATGGGCAAATACAGAACTCAGAGATATTTCCACGGGATCAAAGTGAACAACTGTACGGGCAAATTCACGGCTGAGAGATATTTACACGGGATCAAAGTGAACACCGTTTAAATGCCAGCAACGCGATAACTCCTACGATGTTGTAAGTGCCCACGGACGGTGATATCGGTGATATCACCAGCAGCTGATTCGCTTCTTCGTTTGCCTCCTTTTTTCTATAAAAGAAAAACCTTTCCGGGCAAATTCAAGACCGAAGTTTTAGTTTTCCGCCGATATAAACTCAAAATTTCATTTGGTTTATGAGCCTCATTGGAACACTACACGACAAATTCACAGTGCGGAGTGTATCGCCGAGGGGGGCTCGCGCTTTTGGTGTGTTCTAGAGAAATAGTAGATTTGAATAAATAAATCGTTGGTAGTTTTATAAAAGGTAACTTCAATTGTGTTCCTATTATGAATCCGAAACAATTATGTGCGTCACAGAAATATTCGCCGTGTGGGGATTAACCCACGACGCCCGGCGCCGAAACCAATGTAGTCATATAGTAAAAATGACTTTGGTAGGACCACGCAACAGTGCTCGCTGTTGCACGAATGGGCAGGTCCGTCCGTGTAAGTACCACGACATCCCAGAAGACCGGCGTAAAGTGGAAGTGTCATACTTCTGCGTTTCGTCTGGTGAGTGAGGTAACCTAGGCCAACTTTAATGAAGGGCAGCACATCTGCAGTCCTACGGGTGTGGCAGATGTCCATGGGCGGCGGTTATCACTTAACATCAGGTGAACCGCCAGGTCGTTTGCCACTTGCTCACATAAAAAAATACCTTGCGTGCAGATGAACGCGTTCTTCTGCTTGTACCCGTCCACGTAGTTGGCGTTAATGTAGTCCGTTGTGGGGTCGTCGGGGTCCGTTTGGGACAGGAGCACGCGAGAGTGGTCGTAGCACAGCACGTCCGTGTAGCGATTCTTGGGCACGTTGCTGGGCAACCTGCAAGGGACGATATAATATATAAATGCGAGCTTAATAAGTTGTCGAAAAAATTTTCGACGCTGCGGTGCGTAACCCTGAAGGTGAGGTTCGAGATCGCAGTGACGAAAAATATTTCGACAATTACTTATCTACTAGTAGCATAATAACTTCTTTTATGTACGCAGATGTTACACATTGTGATGAAAACTACTTTACGGATTTATCACGGTCACTGTTATGTAAGGAATCCTAAGCGTCAGGGTATTTAAACTAAAAACAAACTGCCTTTTATAGTTTTTGTCAACGCATTTGCAAGCCCTCTGGTGGTGTAAATGTCCATAGGCGGCGGACTCACTTAACATCAGGTGGTGTACTGGCTCGCTTGACAACTTTTGAACAAAACAGAAATCAATATACTCGAGCAACCTGAGTTCAAATCCCAGTGCCGGCACCAATGAAATTGTTAATTTTAAGACTTTATTACGTGTTCAGCGGTGAACGAAAACATCCTTCGGTAACCTATTTTTAAAATAACGACAAAAAAAATATTTGTTTCGAAGTACGCACAATCCGCAGTGGGGTCGCGTGATGGACTTTACCTTCTGTATAGAAGAGGCCATTTTTTTGCCCAGCTGTGGGATATACATAGGACACACATACTTTTTTCTACTTCATTTAAATTCCATCCCGAGTGCAGACAGAGCGCTAAAAAATAAAAGCCAATCGTAACCATTGAGGTATCGTTGTAAAAACGGAGCTCACTTCGCGTGGTGGAAGGTGCCGAGGGGGGGCCGCGAGCGTATCTCCTCGTACTCGGCGATGAGGCCGCGCCTGCCGACCGCCCTCAGGCGGGCGAGGAGGGCGGCGGCCGTCTCGCCGGCGCCGCCGCACACGCACTCCTCGTCCGAGAGGCCGGGCGACGCCTCGCCGGACGACCAGGTGCCGCGCGCTGCGAAAGGCAACGCCAAACGTTAGGCGTCGTCCCATCAGTGGCCCGTGGTACAACGGTGCAACGTTGAGGCGACTGAGGTGGGGCCACGCATCAGTCTTCGGCCCAAAGGTAGGGCCACGTAACAGTAGCCGACCCAAAGGTAGGGCCATGCAACAGTCATCGGCCCAACGTTGAGACGACTGTGGTAGGGCCACGCAACAGTCTTCGGCTCAATGGTAAGACAACTGTGGTGGGGCCACACAACAGATTTCGGCTCAATGGTAAGACAACTGTGGTGCGTTTCGTCTGGTGACAGAGGTGGCGGGAGCAGACTTTATTAAAAGTTGTCAACACATCTGCAACACATCTACAACCCTACGGGTGGCGGTTGTCGCTAAACATCACAACCAGCTCGGTTGCCACCTTCTCATTTAAAAAAAAGGAAACGCCAGTGAGCTCTCATGGTAGGGCCACGCAACAGTCTTCGGTCGAACGTTAAGAGAACTGTGGTAGAGCCACAGGTCCGCGGTAGTACCATGACCTCACACAAGACCGTATGTAGAAGTTTTATACTTCTGCGTTTCGTCTGGTGAGTGAAGTAGCCGTGGCCCAGTTATCACCCACGTAAAAAAAATTGACAATAAATTAAACAAACATGCTTAAGATACACATAAAAAATATAATTAAATATTTATGCTTGCAAAGTTAACATTTGAAACAAAAATAAAAAAGCCAAGTGTCTTATTAATAGTAAAATTTGGTTTAAAATGCCAATAAAGTGTTTTCCAGTCTTCACAATTCTAATTGTGCTCCTGACGAGGATTAATCAATTAAGATGATCACTTTCACGACGAGACCTTTAAATTTCACTTTAATAGAACTGTAGTTGTTGCTCTTTTACTTGTACTTGCAAATAAGCAATCATGAAGATGCCGGGTATTTTATTAATTCACGCCTTGGAATAAGTTGTAAAGTTAATTTTAAATTAATGAAATAAGTTTCTGCACTCCGTTTTAATATTAAATTCGTGTTTAAGTAAGAGAGCCTTAAGGAACAAGATTTATTTTACGATAAGATTATGTTTGTACAAATTTTAGAGTAACTTTTCCCATAATGACCTTTAAAAAATAACGGGATTATTAATTTTACTGCTTATTATAGTTACTTTTATACCAGTTTCATCGTTTCTGGGAACATTAATAAGTAAAAAGGAATTAATTTATAAAACAACATAGCAGGTAAATTAATTACATTAAAGCAATATTTTTAACAGTTGTAATAGAAATTATTATACGTAAATATATTTCATAAAATGGATTGAATAATATGAATCCAATGCTAATGCTTATCTAAACAAATTAAACCTCGGCGACTCCGTGTTGCAGTAGGCAAGGTATTGGCTTCGGCGCTTAGGATCCCGCGGGTTCGATTCCCGCACAGGTCAACTATTTGTGAGACTCACCAGGTAATTGTTTCGAATTTGGGTGTTTGTCCACGTGAAATTCATTCGGAAATTTATTGGTGGCAGGACCGCGTAAAAGCCTTCGCTGTTGCACGAATGGGCAGCTCCGGCCAGTGCCAGGTTGTTCCTGACGTCGCGTTTTCGTCATCGCGGTTTTGCGTTGCCATTGGCTGCTGGACCGATCCCACAGCAACAGCGGTCATCGCAAGCGCACCTCGGCATCGCGACCCCACCAACGCGACACTCGCTCACTACCACGGTCGCAAACGCACGTACACCGGCCTTCTCAATATTGTAACGATCCAACGATAAATACACAGTTCATTTTATTGAAGATTTTTATTATTCAAGAATTCCCATTTAACCGGAGCTTGATATTCAAACACAGGTTTTTATTCATGTGAAAAGTTGTTAAGCGAGCAGGCGGTTCACCTGATGACCGCCGCCTATGGACATATGCTACACCCGTGGGTTTGCAGATAATTCGACAACCTTTTTGAAAGTTGGGCTCCGGTCACCTCACTCTTCAGACGAAAGAATTTACAGGTACGACCAAACAGAAGAAGCGTGAAGATGAAGTAGACTTCCGCGTTTCGTCTGGTGAGTGAGGTAGCCGGGGACCACTTTATAAAGGGTAGCAACGCATCTATAGCTCTACGGGTGTTGCAAATATCAATATGGGCAGCGGTCATCATTTAACATCACCAGAACCCTTCCTCGCTTACTACCTTTTCACGTATCATCGTATCATTTTTAACGCCTCGCAGTATGGACATGCGTCATCTTAAAGCATAATTGTGATAAAGACAGGGGCCAGGACCGCTAGTATGAGATATACCAGTGAAGGCGACATATGACACACAACGTGATTGTATATAACATCATTGGTAAATACAACATTTAAATTCGAAAGTACCGTAACTGGTTTTCTCTTCGCTCATTTTGCTAATTCCCGGGTCGAGAAATCTTAGTAAAAATCCAGTCAACAAAAACATTTCCAACAAACTAATAACCTCATTGTTGATTTGCCAAAATATGTCAACTGTCAATTTTAACTTTTTAGTTTTTTATTGTTCAATCGATATAGGTAAACAACAATTTCACGACTTTGCCGTCCTAAATTACATAATTATTTAACAGATTTCCATTTGAATGTCATTATTACTTACGTGATGGTTTTATTTTCTTTTTACTAAAACCTTTTTTATTTATACTATTTAATTATAATTTCAAGTTTATATTAAAAAAACGATACACAATTCGAATTATTATCATCGCTTAATTTAATTATTGTTAGTTAACGAGAACGAAAATAATTAAAATTAAAATTAATAACCGCATACGAATAAGCAAAAAGCGCATTGTGTCTGTCTCATCAGTCTTGCTATGGGCAGAATAACAGTACTTCATGGACTACAAAATATTTAAAGGAACCTTTCAGAGAAAACTCTTTCCCACGTGTAGTGGAAACCAGTATTTTTGTATGTAAACAACCGTGCGGTTCACCTGATGTTAAGTCATAACCGCCGCCCGCAGAGTTGCAGATGCGTTGCCACCTTTAAATAAAGTGGGCCCCGGCTTACCTAACTCACCAGACGAAAAACAAAGGTAAAAAAAAACGCAAAAGATGTCCATGGGCGGCAGTATTCACTTACCATCAGGTGCACCGTCTGCTCGTTTAGCAACTTTTCACATAAAAAAATATAACGTATAATTCACGCCGGTGTTCTGTTAGGTCGTGGTACTTACCCGGACGGACCTGCCCAATCGTGCCATAGAGAACACTGTTGCGTGGCCCTAGCACAGTAAAAGTACTACATTCAGATCCTCGAACCTATGTGATACAGGGTCCCTTGAAAATGTCTTCCAAGTGGAACAAGCTGCGTGTCTTATTTTCTTCATACAATGTGGTTGTAATCAAAGCTAGCGTGAATAGGAGCTATCCAACCAGTTGGTGGGTTGGTAGTCAAGCGCGAGCCACGATTTAAAAGAAGCATCGAACGCCTAAATTTGAATTTAAACACACTACAACAAAAAAATAATATCATGCTCGCGGGCATTTTTTTTTTTCACGCGTGACAACCAAAGTTAATAGAGGGTGCCCTAAGCGATCGTATATCGAACAGATTGATATTTATGTCGCGAAAGGGACAAGTGAAGGACACGCGTAACTGTCGCGCATGTATGTAAGGACGTAGGAACTCAGTAAATACAAATAGCTTCTTCTATACAAGTTTCATCAAGCTTTTTAATTGTAAAAAAGAAACATCGTGCCGCTCAATAAAATAATAGGGCGTGCTAAAGTTCGAGTCATTGCGAAGTACATACAGTTCATAGGCACCGCTTTTTGTCTCGCTCTCACTTGAAGCTGGTGTATAGTTGCGAACAACGTTGCTAATCGGTCTCGGCAAGTAGACATCAGTTAGTTTTGCAATTGACGGTACACGCGCACATAACTCGCGTAGATAGGTACCCATTTTTGTAGAGTTATAGATAGCTGATGCGCCGCGCAAAATTACATGTATGTGTAATGACATATTATGACATATGTGTACAATTATGAACAACTTTGCTAATCGGTCTCGGCAAGTAGACATCAGTTAGTTTTGCACTTGACGGTACACGCGCACATAACTCGCGTAGATAGGTACCCATTTTTGTAAAGTTATAGATAGCTGATGCGCCGGGCAAAATGACATATGTATAGATGCGCCAAGCGTTGCTTGAAATGCGAAATAACAATAATGATAAAACGCGTTGTTATTTTCGTCTTTGTGGTAATCAGCCGTTTAGCTTAGTGATTAAAGCGTCTGAGCGCAAATCCGGAAGGCGTGAGTTCGATGCCCGCGACGGCGAAAAAATTCTCGTGCTTTTTGTTACAAATTTAAAAAAAAATACATAACATCTACATTAGTGACGACCCGAATTTCGTAGTTGGTGGTGTTCCTGCCTCCTGCGTTCGATCCCCACTAGTGGAAAAATATTGTGTGATGACATAGCGTTTTCCAGTGTCTGGGTGTTTATATATGTATAATATGTATGTATTTACAAAATAAAATTATATTTAAGTATGACTTTATATTTGCATTCACTCACTTATCAAATCGACATCGTCTTCGTCGCCAGAATTGATGTGTCCGCCCTTCATGTCGCCATTGTAACCGCGCGTGTGTCTGGAAAAACGAATGAGAAAAAAAATGTCGGTCGAATTGAGAAACCTCCTCCTTTTTTGAAGTCGGTTAAAAATATTATATTAGAATATTAAAAGGGCCATCCCCGGTATGTAAAGTTCAGATACCTGTGAATGGAGCAAAACGCATGTATAATAATCATTTTGTATATCAAATACAAATTGTAAGTTGAGTGAGGTGTTTGAAATCACATACGTTTTTGGGAAATCATTACTCCCAGAGTTTGTCGAAATTTCGAGTAAGACGATAAATTACGTCACAAGATCAACAGAGTCCCGGGCATAAGTCAATAAAAGTTAATTCACCCGGGGCTTCTTATGTTGTATTATTTAATAGTCAATAACCGAAGATGTTTCGGAATTACTGGCGATGGATGGATAGTATTGGATAACGTATTTTTTTATCAACATAACAGTATATAAACCGTTACGCCTATAAACTTACTAGTTATTAACTTTTAATTTTTGAACATATCAAAGTTCATTTCCAACTTTATTATGCGAACAGTAGACAATACGAAAAGCCTCTATAATCCCAGCTTAAAAGGACTTATCGTATCGGCTTAATAATAAACTCGGACGATCGCGACGAAGAGAAAACGAGTGTACGAAAAAGTACCGACCGTTACGAGTAAGTAGATATTAAAGCAACCTATATACGGCCAGCTATTTTAACAAAGATTCAAGACTATTTCGTAAATTCATATTTCCTCCCTTCCATTTCACCGCACAAGTCATCACTTAGATAGGCAATTGGCGAGGTACATTTGAAAGTCAGAGTCAAAAATTTCCTAATTCAATTTAGACTTCAGATTTCTTCCAAATGAACTTTACAAAAATTCTACTGGTTTATTAAATTAGAACTGAAGAATTGAATCAGAAAGAGACTGCGGTCTCCTTTCAATGTTTGTCAAGTTTTTCCAATAAATTTTCACAACATACAGCATTATTTCAGCATTAGCCATACGACTTACAAGCTTGGGGCAAGATGGCTGAGCTACACCTAAATTAAGTAAATTCCAGATCCATTTCGATTTATTAAGCAGTCCACTTAACCCACTATTTTCTAAAGGCGACATTGAAAATCTATTATCACGACACTAATTTTCTTATGATTTCAATTTAGCATTATTGCTCTAAAAGATTGACTTCCATCATGAGTAGGTACTCAAAAACATAAATTGAAAACAAAGAAGTAATTTCTCACATGAAAATTACTTCTTCGTTTTCTCACAAGGAATTACTTTAGAAATACTTAGATCACTACAAGACAAGTTAGTTTTACGGATAAAGGCGTTTCGCAATCCAGCGGACCACGTTCCTAGACGTGTCTTTGTGCGGGGATTCCGAGCGGACAGCGGAGAGCTCAAAAAGATGTTGCCCGGGCGAAAATATGGGACGTTCGGGGTTTAATAGAGCCCGCCCCAGTTGCCGGGGAATAAATCTGCAGTCCGCTTGAAGCGCATTGTGGCGCACGCACCGTTAATGCTCAAGAACGCCCGACGCCATTATTCGGGAACAAAACGTCGCCCCGAAAAGACATTAAGCACCACGAGAACTGGGTCGCAGATGAATTGCTTTTGATAATCGGAGAATAATAAGCGGGCATAGTTAACCACGCGAGCCCAATGCGGATTGACAGACGTCACATATTTTGTTCTGTTAATAATGAATAAAAAAATATCCCGCTGAATTTCTTTCGTCGGTTCTTCTCAGGTCAGTGGTTTTCTTTCCGAAACGGTAGTAGAGTTTTTGACAATCAATAAGTAAGTGTAATGCTTCCATATTGAATAAAGATATTGACTTTGACTTTGACTTGGGAGGTTTTAAAATATGGTATATCACCATATTACAATAAACGATATCATTGGTGCTGGAGCCGAGATACGAAACGGTATTGCTCGAGTATATTAAGTTAAAAGTGAGCGGTCGCACACTGATTTGTTCTTTATATTTATTTCATCACCATCAACATCATTTTTTTTTTTACATTGCCCTTACTTTAGGATAACATTATCCTGTGTTGTAAGGACGTTTTTACAAACATAAATTTCACGTGGAAAAACACCCAGATGCGAAATAACTATCTGTGGGTCACACAAATAGTTGTCCCGTGTGGGAATCGAACCCACGACCGCCGACGCCGAAGCCAATACGTTGGCAACTGCGCCACGGAGTCATCAATCATTGCAGTCTGTTTGAGTCGACTGCTGAACATAGGCCTACCCTCACATACTGCCACTAAGCACGGTCCTAAAACACCTGCATCCATCGACTTCGCGCACATTTGTACAGGTATAACTTCAATAAATCGTTGATTTATTGATGTTATACTTTTTATAGAGGGTGCAAAAAATATAAGAGTAATAAAATGTGTTCAACCATCTCTACAAGCCCTCGAGTGTTGCAGATGTCCATGGGCGGCGGTAATTACTTAACATCAGGTGACCCGTCTGCTCGCTCAACAACTTTTCAAATAAAAAAGTAAAAAAAAATATAACGTGAAACTTTTACGCGCGCGCACCGACAGCCAAAAAGCGACATGATGAAGTTGGTTGCAAAGTGACCTAAATGACCGAATCACTGATTCAATGAAAAACTGAATTGAATAAACATCTATTTCTATTATTTTATATTTTATAGCCGTGATAGCTCAGTGTCCGGGCGCTCGCCTTTAAATCAAAATACTCGAGCAGCCTGAGTTCGATACCCGGTGCCAACACCAACGAAATTGTTAATTTTAAGTGCCGAATTATCACATGCTCAGCGGTGTAGGAAAACATCGTGAGGAAACCTGCATATTTTCGAAGTAATAACAAAGAAAATTAAATATTTCGAAGATATAATAATATGAAGTCCGCCAATCCGCAGTGGGGCCACGTGGAGGACTATGCCCTGATACCCTCTGTACAGAGGAGGCCTTTGCCCAGCTGGGAGACATGTATAGGCTGATACTTTACTTTACTTTTTTTTCTATTATTTTTATTCCGCGTATTGTGCAATGATTTGGACAATACATGTGCTATAGTCACCTTAGAGGGCTGGTGTCGCAAGTGTATGGTGCGTCACCGCTGATATGCATGACGTCGGGCTGCTGCTGGAGGCGGGGTACGCGATCGCTGGTCATGTCGCACGCGACCTCGTGCTCTATCACACCTGTTAATAAGGGCCATAATTGACGATAACCGCCTCAGTTAACGAGCGGCGGGCGACGAGACCGGTTGTCTCTTGGATTGCCGGTCTCCCGAAAGAACAAAATAAAGATAATTGTACCAGATCTAGGTGTTTGTTCGTGTACAACTTATCTTAATATGACTCTAAAATACATCCTATATTGTAGATGCGTTATAACAAGATAATCTATCTTACAGAAACAACAATGCATGCTCGCTGACTATTCCTCTCTACCCAAAAAACAGATTACACGGGCAATATGCTACCTCTTAGTATATCACTTTATTTTTTTTTTCAAGCAAAGGCAAGCCACTATGTCTTACCAAACTAAAGGTTTTGCGTTCATGTTGGTTCAATTTCCACAAGAGAAATATTTGCGATATAAGAAACAAACATAACTACTAATATTTTACTACCAATATAGAAAGGAGCAAAAATATGATTTCTAGTAGTTCGTGCCCTTCGTACAGCGGTTTTTCGACAACCCTATGTTAATATGTTATGCCTATCAGAAACAGACCAACAAAAATCATTAACAACCCTTATTTCATAAAATAATTTAGTTTATGCGCTTACCATTTTGTGTCTTAACCGGCGGGATATAGTTACTTATCACATATTCATCTATAACGCCATCTAATTTGTTATTCTGCAGGTTGTTCGTGTAGCAATTCCTACAGTGCTCCAACCTGAAAGCAAGGAGCCAATGTTAATGATTGCTCAAAGTATCTATATCAATTGGGTTGGATAAGTGCAGAGGGACGTGGGGAATCATTAGCTATGGACGCACTTTGTTTCGGGGCGTTGGCCACACCTAAACACCGATATTGTATACATATTACAGACTAACACACATGTAGAATTAGGGGTGTGCTGTAACCCGATTCTATCGACAACCAACGAACTAAATAAAATACTATTCATGTCAGCACTACCACTCCCTATAATTGGCTAATTAATCGAAGGGTATTCTAACAATGTTTGTTCTTGATTTATTGATAAAATTACCGTGTAAAGAGTTAAAGAAGAAAAATATTAGGCACAATCGCAAGTCCCAAAACATATCAGTAATTAACATTAAAGAAGGCATTTTTGTCATTATATTTTTATTATCTGGTTGTGTTTTGTTAGGCATTGAATAATAATGTAATCGAAATTATTGTATTGTAAGTACCTATATCTATCAATTATCTGGTATTTGTATCGACCTTGTAAAGTTTTGTAACGTCGTATATTTTGTGTGGACCATGCGTTGATTACAAAGGTCTCTGTAATTATAACCTACTATGGATTAAAGTAAAAAACGGCCCAAGTACGTCTCATTACACTATTACACCATAATCTATATAAAGGCAAAAAAATCATTTCTGTTGTATCTGAGCCCTACTTAAATATTTTTTATTCTGTTTTTAGTGTTTGTCTTTTAGCGGCAATGTGACAAATGTGACAATGAGACAATTCATCAGTGACAATTTAAACTGTCTAATTATTACGGTTCATGAGATACAGCCTGGTGATAGACGGACGGACAGACAGACAGACAGAAAGACAGCGGAGTCTTATAGGGTCCCGTTTTACCCTTTTGGTACGGAACCCTAAAAACGAGCCGAAAAAATAGAAGGGCTATGTTAATGTTTTTAGAAGCATGAACGTAACTAAGCCCTGTCCGTGAGGCAGCATGACGAATCACGCTCTAATTACTCCCCATAATGGGACCGTTGAGTACCGAGGTATGTTACACGTACTCAGAAAACACTGTTGGCAAAATAACGACACAATTGGTTTAGTTGATAGTGAACCTGTCTTTTGTGCCAGTGGGTGTGGGTTCGATCTTAACTACTTGAATAATGTTGCGTCATGATCATGGTGCTTTTCTAGTGTCTAGGTGGTTGTGTGGTTATATCTATAATGTATTTGCAGCAGAAAAGTATGTTTAAATATGTTTATCACTTACCTAGTACCCATAGTACAAGCTTAGTGTGTATTGATTTCAAAATAAACTCTCATAAGGGTAAAAGTTGCTACTTGTACGATAAGTTACCGTTTTTAAAAAGTCCAAGCCAGCAATGAACGGAATAAAAGGTAAAAAGGGTAACATATGATTTTAACTAAATTTCGAAAGATTTTCTATTAAAAGCTAACAATACACGTACTCTTTTTCATAGTATGAATTAGGAGCCTCTTATAATTCTCCAAGTTTAATCGGTATTCCGTATGGAAACCCATTCATGTATTCAGTGTAATATGATTGCAAGATAATAATTATTCCAGTTACAAGTTCGTCGTTTGCTTCTGCTTCTGTAGTTTCCGGAAAGAACATATAGTTATAAAGTAACTAGAAGTCTGAATCACACTAAAAGAAAACGGAAACAAGAAAAGCGCAATAGAAAAAAAATATGTAGATGCAAATCGGTGACAACATTCCTCAATGGAGTGGATACAGCGACTTGTCTCAGTAAAGCCGTGTGAACAACAACAGTGAATATAAAGTGACGTCTTCTTTTCATCCACAATTCCCCGGCGCGGGCAATTCGCGTGCGTACCTATGCATAATGAGAACACGAATGGCGTCACAGGGATTTAGTCAGATTGAAAATCTAAAATGTAAATTGTTGGATCGATCCGCGGCGCAGTAATATTCGTGCGATAGCAGTGGAGGGTCCCGGGGGGTTCCCGCTATTGGCAAGAGCGAATTTGATCTGGCGGATGTGGGGGGGGGGAGATACGTGCACGTTAAGCGCAAGCGGGGAATGTAAAGCACTAGCGGAGGAAACGCTAAATGTAAATAAGGAATATCGGAAGGGAAACGGGTAAACAATGGCAGGCCGCGTAGCGTTCCGATACTATTCCGGAGCGTGTTGTTTCTTGGCAAACGGCTTCCGACTCCCGCCAACCGGCGGTTTTGGTTCGGCTGCCAAGAGACTAGAGCGTCCTGTTTGCGGCATGTGTCGATTTCGATTCTAGTCAATGCGACATTTGACTCAACAATCCGTACTAATCTAAGTAGAAATAAGAAAAAATCTTTTGGTTATCTTATCCTTTAAACGAGCAATTCTTGTATATATAAATATAATCGGAATCTCGGAAACGGCTCCAGCGATTTTCATGAAATTTAGTATGTGCATAGATTCGGGGGCGAAAAATCGATCTAGCTAGGTTTCATTTTTAGAAAATGTCCTTGTATCCCTGTTTTCAGGGAATGAAAAATATAATTCGAATATGACGGTAAATTTCGCCGCAAGAGATCGGTAATCGGGCGGCCCCAAAACAGACGGCCGTGGTTCGCGTCACGATCATTTACACATTTATTTTTTTTACTTTTTTTTCGATTCCAGATCATTGCTTTCTTTATTTTTAATTTTTTGTCGATTTGTTAATTTGTAATTTTTTCCCTTTTTTTTTAAGTTCTTTCTTTTGTGATAAACATCAGTTCGTATTTTCTTATTATTACGTCGGTAAGATCGAAAAATATTATGCATATTTCATTACTCAGTTATTTGTATCTAAATGTAATTTCCAAAATACACAATTTACCAAAAAAAACAAACCGAGCAAAGCTCGGTCCTCCGGGTACTTTGTATTTATGCGACGTAACATTCGTTGTTAAATGAAGCTATTTTACGGATTTTATCGCGTTAAATCCATTTAAACGCGATAAAATTCGTAAATTTTAAAAATATAAAACTTTACTTATAATATAAAAGAAATACTTTAACTTAAATTAGCTTTCTAAAAACATGTTAGAAAACTTAACGTTTATCAATTTATTTGTGAATTGTGTCTATAAATGACAAAGGCGTTAGTGCAGTTTGTACATATTTCAGCAGTGATTTTTATATAAAGACACCTTACTTCGTATGTGCGTATAAAAACGTCAACATGTGCTGATGATCTGATAAGTTATCGTATGTAAGGTTCGGCGCTGATGATTTCCTATCTTTTGACTATCTTTGGGAGTCCCTAATACTATCAAAATTAAATTACGCAGATACAGTCATCGCTGGGTGCTTAATAGAGGGTACAAAAAAACATATTCAGCGAGTTCAAAATTCCTGTGCTCGATTTTGCTTTCCAATTCCACGCCGGTCTCGTATAACACCATATCTTAATCGAAGCGACATGTTGAATATGTGAGCATGGCGAGCACTACATTTTGCTTCCTTAATTTTCGGGGTAATAAATAAACAAAGTCCATCATATTTGTATGGCAAGTTAAAATTTACACAGCGCCATTCACGACTTTGTGACCGACTTATATGCCCTATTTTTGGTACTGCGGCTTTCCGTGGAAGCTTTCGATACTCCGCCACAAAGTGTTGGAATAACATCCCACCAGCTATTAGAAACTCTTTGTCTTTACATATCTTTAAAGCAAAATACAAAAAGTTTCTACTTCATTTGCAAAAGACGGAGTAAAACCGATCATATCGCTGTCTGCTTACATTATATATAAAATTGCACTCAAAAAATCAGATCACATAGGTGTATATACTCGTATTGTGTCGAGGATATGTTCTAGTTTTTGCTAATAATTTTGTTTTTTGTTATATTTTATTTTTGATTTTATTGTACTTAACTTTTATATTCCTTTTTTATAGTTTTTATTTTATTTCAATGTTATTTTTGTTGGCTATATGCATGGAGCTGAACGCCAATCTTACAAGGTATCTGCAGAAAACCAGTGCCGTGGTATTTATTGTCTGCCAGGGCTATATACTGAGCGGAGACCTTTTTGGTGCATACATTTTTACAATGTTAGTGTTATTTGTTGTTCTTTATTTTTTTTTCCTATAATGTAATGCGCCGAATAAATATTTCTTTCTTTCTTTCTATCGAGATATGAATCACAAAATTAAAGAATATCATTAAATTACGTACTCCTCGAAAAGTAAATCGCACTAAGTGCCGGATTGACGGCGGGAGTATAAAAGATGTTGGTGAAATTAGCGATAATTTTACCTCTAAATTCATATTTACATTACACAATAATAACATAGTGATTGTGGCGGCCTTGAATTTATTAAGCTCAAACCCGAAGACTTTATTTAAACCTCTACGTACAGTATTTGTCCTGTATAACATGAAAGAACTTTGCTTACTGCCAGAAGATGTTACTAAGACAGTTAGACGACGAGACCAGGTTTCATAGCAAAGAACCGTGTTGTGAAATGAATGAAGAAGTTCGCAAAAACAAAAAATATAACTGTTTTTACAAATGTGTTGCAAGCTTGCTATTTGCGCACGCTCTCTTGGGCAGCCAGCCTGCAACAGGCTAGCGTTAGCTGGAACCTCTTCTACACTTTAGAATCACAACGAATAAAGAAGTATTTAAAGTGTCTTCATAGGATTCATCATTTTCACACAAGCGACTTTATTATTTTATAACAAACAACCCTTAATAAAGTCAGGAGTATGGATAATGGAGATAGCATAATGTCTAATGGATGTGTGGTTCTTACTCCTTAATAAAAAAAAATATTACCATGTTAAAATATTGTTATGCATCTGCGTAGGAGATGATAGTACGGCATTATGTAGAACGATTAAAGGTACGGTATTTATGATACTTTGGGCTGAAGTAATGAAGGGTGGTGGTGGTGGTCGCCGTTGGCAAACTTTTGGCTTCAGCGTCGGTGGTCGTGTGTACGATTCCCATACGGGACAAGTATTTGTTCGACCAGCGTACAACGTGATTCACAAGTGCTGACCCCACCTAGGCGGGATAATAGCAGGAGGATGAGAGCGAATGGCGGTATCGAAGTCCGAGTCGAGGAGAAGTATTAGGAAGAAGATGAGGGAGCGAGTTACTCAGATGAGAAGAGGGGCTACCCACCAGGCGGCGTGGTCGGGCGTCAGCTGGCCGCCGAGCTGGCGGGGCAGGCTGGCGCGCGGCACGTGCGCACCCAACTGCGGCGCGCTCACCGTGTGCACCCGCTCGCGGAGCTTCTCGCGGACGAACAGCCTGAGGATTCGGAAGGGCGCCTTGAACCACAGCGGCGCGGTCACGATCAGCACCTTCTTCAACTTGGCCGGGTAGCCGCCCTGCGAAAGTTGACGACTATTAGTTTCGTTTTCCCCTTCATTCGTGGCGGCCGTGTTCGGCAACAACTTAAGGTAATTTCATAATCACCTTGTGTGGCTAGTGTAAGAATACCTTTCAAAGTGTGTAATTTGATCGTTGGTGGTAAACGCGCTAGCTCAGTAAAAGCAGATTTACTAATGCCATAAAGACGCCCGCGTGGGCAATATTTTTATATAAAAAAATGGCAAACGAGCAGGCGGTTCGCCTGATGTTTAATGATTAAAGCGACCCATAGATATCTACAACACCAGAAGGGTTGCAGATGCGTTGCCAACATTAAAATATGGGGCCCCGAACACCTCACACAACAGACGAAATGCGAAAGTATAACACTTCCATTTCCCGCCGGTATTTTCTGAGGCCACAATACTTCCCTGGACATGTTTGCCCATTCGTGCAACAGCCGAATCTGCTGAGTTACCATACCACATTATTGCTCTATTTCATTTTTTATTTATTACAAATATATCTGCCACGTGATTCTTTATAAGGACAACTTGTTACATAAGAACTACAAAAGTTATGACATGATAATACAAGATTAATATGAGAGACTGCTATATAAACATAAACATGTCCACTACTACCTAGTTGGCACAAAGGGTATTATGGAAATGTTTTCCAAATAAAATTCTCTATGTGTAGAGATACGCCAACACTGGTAAATACGTGTTCGGTGTTTTTTTAGGTTACATTATATTTAATTTATTGTGTCAATAATAACCATTTTTGCATTAGTATTTTTTGTTGTAATGTTTTACGATTTATGAAATACCTATAAAGTTAACTAAGACCTACCACAACAATAATAAAGATTTTTTATATAATTACCGTTTAATCACATCCATAACATTTAAAACGGTTAAAGGAAGATTTGATTTAAAACCAAACATCGGTCTCAAAATAATTTGACACATTTACTAACAGACCCGACAGGCGTTGTCCTATACACACGACTTAAATCCGACAACAACTTATAAATAACAGTATTAAAAAAATTGTAGTGAACCGACTTATGAATTTAAACTATAAAAAATTTCATTAAAATCCGTATAACTGAATAAGAGGAGTTCAGTGACCTACACACGCACAGAAGAATTATATATATAAAGATTTTTAGGTTAGAGGCAAGCGGTACACAGTGTTACATTTATACGAATGTTGGCATTACGAAAACCATGAATATGTAAGTACTGGCGCAATGATACTGTGAAGAATATTGCCCAAGTGCACTCGTCGCTTCCGAATGCTTTGCTGTGGAGTCAAGTGGGGCCCGTTGCGAGCGAAAGAGAGGATTTTTTCAAAAGGGCGAATGTATTGTTTATTTGCGAGGCCGTGATTAGATTTGTGATATATGGTCAACAGTTTTAGAACATACACACCATGATTATTTTGCTCTGTGATAAGTTGGCAAGTGAGCAGGCGGATCGCCTGTTGTAGATTTCACATGACCTTTTTGATTATTATTATTATTAATTTCATTAACTTGGACTTCTAGCAGAACCGTGGGAATGCAGATGCGTTGATAACAATTTATAAGAGATTGGGTCACAATAACTTCACTGTACAGACAAAACGTAAAAATACATTACTTTTACTTTACGGCAGTTTGACCAAACCTCAAATACTACGCCAGTTTGACCAAACCTCAGGAGACAGTATCAGCAGAAATCGGAATAGAAAAATATATAACAAACGGGACATACGGAAGTAAGAAAGTGTGTAGCGGACTAAGTGCGGATAATATTGTTGAAATAAATTAATTGCGACACTGAATTTATTACATTTACATTATCTATAAAAAAAATCTTTATGTTTTATCTGTGCTGCTACTTTCTGTCTCTCACTTCTCGCTGGTTCATTAAAAAGGATTATTGCTCGGTATTGCGTATTTAATTTCTAATTATTTAGTTCTGGAATTACTAAAATACTTTCGTAAAATATCAAATATCTTGCCGTTTCAGAGGATATCGTGTGAAGACCTCACCAGAGTCTACTCGACGACAACGCGTAGGAGTGGAGGGGAGGGGAGGGCGTGGAGGGCGGTGTAGAGGGGGGGGGGGGGGGGACGAGCGAATCCGCGAGGCCCGGAATAGACCGGACAGACGAAAGCGGGACACGGTCGCGCGTGTTTCAATAATAGCCTCAGACTGCCTACAGACTTGTTAATTGCTTTAATCGTACGTGTGATGTAACAAGCGAAGATGTCGTACTAATATAAGATAACCAGGTTAGCCGGGAAAAGTTTAGATAGGCACGTATTTTTAACTATTAATGCTCGACTACTGTTCCACTTCCTAAAAGTGTTGATTGTTGACGAGCTTTTTTATGTAGGAAGATTGCAAGCGAGCTGGCAGTTCATCTGATGTTAAGTGATAACTGTCGTCCGTGAACATTTGAAACACCCGTAGGGCTGCAGACGCGTTGCCACCTTTGAATAAAGTGGGCACCGGTTACCTCACTCAACAGACAAAACGCAGAAGTATAACGTTCTAGTTCACGCCAGTCTTAGGTGAGGTCTTGGTACTTTCACGGACGGACCTCCACTTGCAACAGCAAATACTGTTGCGTGGCTTTACTACTAAAGACAGGCCCGTATTTTTAACTAATGATGGTCGGCTACCACTACACCAGGTGTTAAGTGTTGATGCGGGCGTTGAAAACCCGTTTGGTTTTCATAAAATTATGAAAGGTTGGCATTTATACGCTGGACTAATTCATCGATAAATTCTTAAGGCGCAATAAAAAAAAGTTTATATCAATACACAGTACTCGGTGAAGATAATCGAAAACAAGCATTGCGCTGTCAGCATAGAGTAGGACATCACCAAGGATCAATTTCAGTGTCGCGGTAAATCTGTTACATAAGATCCCCGAGAAGTGAAAATGTTATAAAACTGGGACTGGACTCATCGTTTGGGACCTAATCTGCGTATAAAATAGAGGATGACAGCGTGAAAGACGTACCAAACCACTTGAGACGAAATATGAAATTTTGCACATCGCCGCTAAAAAATGAATGCGGAAATCCGCTTAAATAGGATAAGATTATCAAATAACTCTCCACATAATCTGAAATAGTGACATTGCATTTTAATAAGGTATATGAAGCTTCGACTTCTGCTGAATAGATTTCAATTAATATACGTTTTTTACTTATACACTGGGCCCCTACCTAAAGAAAATATTGTGATACCTTTAATAAATATAAAGTTATTAAAATTTTCAGAAACAACGATTACGTGTTCAGTGATGTTTTTTCATGGCGTGGAAAAATGGGGCATATAGTGTAGTTGTTAATATAATACGCAACTCAGACGAAGTCAGAGCTGGGTATCAGCTAGAATACGGAACCCTGAGTTCCGGATCCAAAGGGTAGAATGGGACCCTATTACTAAAACTCCCTCTCTCTCTGTCTATCCGTCTAACACCAGGCTGTATCTCAGATAGGCATATAGTTGAAATTTTCAGAGACGATTTATTTTTGTTGCCGCTATAACATCAAATACTAAAATACAGAATAAAAATATGTATAAGTGGGGCACCCATACAGACATGATTTTTTTGCCATTTATATAGATAGCTAGCTTATCGCCCGCGGCTTCACTCACGTTGAAGCCCTTAAATAAATATATTTCTTTAAAAAAAAATTCTAATTAAAAAGGGCCTATGTCCTTTCTCAGGCTCTAGAATTTCTATGTACCAAATTTCATTTAAATCGGTTCAGTAGTTTTGGCGTGAAAACGAGACAGACGGACAGAGTTACTTTAGGATTTATAATATTATAGTATGGATAGTACGGAACCCTTTGTGCGCGAGTCCGACTCGCAATTGGCCGTTTGTTTTATACTTCTATATATTTTTATCACAATGGTTATTGATTAATGATTTTATGATTACGTAAATCTATTGTGATTTGTCTATAATTAAAAAAACTCACTCAGTAACGGGTTGTAAAAAGTATTGACTTTCCCACATTATCGCGCAATCGTATTGCTCTAATTTTTTTTTTAAATTAAATCCACACTTATGCTACATTTCCCATATGTAATATGTAATTTTCGTATTGCTAAATAATCGAACGTAATGTTTGTGTAGTAGTAAATTCAATACAATGCGAAGATGAGCATAACAAGGTTGATCATTAACAATGTTGAGGTATTTAATATTTGGTTTGGCCGCCGTCCGGACAAATATTAAACAGCAGAATTCGTTTGATTTATATTTGCTCTTTATACAAGTAATGATATGATAAATCAATGATTGGTTTGTTAAGATAAATAGCAGTAAATCCTTACTTATATTATAAACGCGAAATTTTGTATGTATGTAAAACGTACTCAACACCTGATTAAAAGCTCTCGTGTTTAGCTTTTAACCGCTTACATTATAAAAATAAAATGTTTCCTATTTTTTTAATCAAAAGGTGTTTAAAGATTCACGCAAAATATGTTTACATACGACCGATCTTTAGCGACTGTTTCACCTAAAAATTTAAATCGAAACGCAACTCAATCTCAGCTTTTGAAATCAATTTCGACTGTTCAATTAGAAGTAGCAAAAACTGATGCCGCACCTGAACGAGGCGAAAGAAAAAGTTGCAAAAGCTGTCTTATGTAAAAGGCATACACCGTGTATTTCACAAATTAAATATTGCTTCATAAGAAAAGGCCTGGAAGAAATTGGTACATAAGCAAAAAAGTCGTTTATGTGTACACTATGGTGACTGGTATTTTCCTTTGGCGTATATCCTAGGGTACAATAATGTACCCACATTCTATTCTATTCTAAGAAATATCTGGCGTAGCGATAAAGAACTTCAGTGTAATGCAAACGTCTCTCTGAACTTGTATATATACATTGAAGCTGAAGTATTTTAAAATTTGTTTTGTAAAAAACAAAGTTCAGCTAAAATGATTTCTTATAATACTTATATCAGGACAATTATACAGCCCGTCCACCATCAATACCGTAAAGTTTTCGAACGGCCAAAAACTCGATTGCTACCCCATATCTTTTTCTGTTGCATGAATGGCCTGACTCCTCCGTGGGAATGTTACAATTCAATATAGATCGAAAATGTTAGCCGTAAGCCCCCTTAAATTTACTGATAAACAACGGCTACGCCGTTTTTCAACCGTCTTCAAAAAGAAGAACGGTCACATTTCGGTTATCTCTTTTTTGTGTTTGTTAACACGGAACTCCATTCACAAACTGATTTTGAAAATTATTTTTGAATTGGGTTCCCTTTAGCTCCTATGTGGTTCCATATTAATTTTTTTACTTGGTCTACGGAGAGACATCGGGGAACTCATCAAAATCAAATAGAAAATGTACAGTGAGTGAGATATTTGAAGTCCATTTTTGTTAAAAATGTACTTGTAGAAGTTTACCGCTTACGTGACAGCGCCATAGTTGTGTTGGTAGATTAAAGCCTTAACTAGCGAGCCCAATTGAGATGTTTTCTGGAGAAAAATTGGTAAACACTGTCCGAACAGCGTTCCCTAAGTGGTAATTAAGTCGACGCTGAATTTTCATGTCCTCGGAACTCGAGCGACGGTCGACAGAGCTTCGTAATGAATCCATATTAATAGTGGGGTAGGCAGAGTAGGGAGGGACGCGGTGTACTTATAAATATTCATGGCTAGGGGTCCTCGCTCCGCTTAGGGTGGTGTTTGATATTCTTTCTCAATGATAATTATCACCGCTGAGACTTCTCTCCCATTTATTAATATTTACTCTCTTTGCTGGTTTTATCATCCATTTGAGGCATATCTAATTATTTTGTTGAGATTGGTTCTCTCACCTGAGACGTTTATTTTTTAAATGAAATAATTGAGATAAAGTAATACGTGGTTTCAGTAAAGTTCCTACCCGGTAATAAAAATATGTAGTAATTGCCGTTTGATAAATACTTCTGAAAGGTTTATAATTTCACAACATAATATATTACATAACCAACAGTTATTAGTTAAATATTATTCGGTGGCGCAATTGCTAGGCTATTGGCTTCGGCGTCGAGGGTCGTGGGTTCGATTCCCACCGGGACAAGTATTTGTGTGGCCCACAGATAATTGTTCCGGATCTGGGTACTTACTGGCCACTTACGACATGATTCACATATTGTGCCGACCACACCTTGGTTTAAGGTATAAGGGCAGGATGATGATGCTTAGTTAATATAACACGTAGTACTACTCCTTAACGCAATTATTTATGTATTAAAGTTAATTGTATATAAAAGGCGTAAAAAGATAGGTGGTAGTATAAAGTATAAAAACCTGCCAAGTGCGAGTCGGACGGTCAGTCGGAAGGGTTCCGTACCATTATCTATAAACGGGGGGAAAAATCATGCCTCTTGCATGGGAGCCCCAGTTAAATATTTTTTTAATTAGATTTTTAGTATTTGTTGTTATAGGCGGCAACAGAAATGCATCATCTATGAAAATTGCAACTGTCTAACTATCACGGTTCATGAGATACAACCAGGGAACAGACGGGCGGACAGGCAGTCATAAAAACGGATTCTTAGCGTAATAGAGGTTTCACACTTTGAGTACCCAACCCGAAAAATTAAAGACATGACATCAATCTAGATTATAAACTTTTTTAAAATTAAAAAGCTACAATTCGCAATATAAGTAAATCACTCCAATCTCTTTTTCCATTTCGTATATTAAATTAATAACGACGACCTATTAAAAACAGTACTCTTAATGAAGTTAAAATTGAAATGAAATTAAAATTTTATGAAATCGGGCCACTTTATTAAATCGGAAAACTTTTCAATGCCAATATTTTTCACGACGAATTAAGAAGGATAAGTAAAAAAAGAGATTATGGAAACAAAAAGGTAAAAAAATAATAAACAATAAATAACGTATTTGACAATACTTCATAAAAATACTTCACACCAATCGTAAATAGCAATCTAACAGTAATCTAATTATATGCAGTACAAACTTTTTTCAACAAATCAATGTTCAAATTTCTACCGTCTATTATAGACTCAAGTGGCGCAGGTTAAGTCTCGTTCGGAAAAGTAAAGAAAAGTAGGGGGTTGAGGGTCGATAGCCCCGCTTCCTGAGCCATTCGATTTATGAAATCACCTGGCGCCGAATCCACCCGCCAGGCGTTTCACGAGAGTGTCTGTGATGGTTCTCATGATTTTCACATTGCTTTTAGTAGAATGTGGGGACCGAAAAGGGGTATATTTGATGTCAACTGACCTTAAACAACATATGAGTTTTGCATGGTCGTGCGTAGTTGTGTTTCTATACTTCTATATTAGTTTGCAGAGTTGTGCGTTTCTATTACCTCGCTCAAAAATACTTGTACTTTTTCGACAGTTTGACGTGAGGTACGTCACTACGTGATACCTTCTTGGTTCTGTAACGTTAGAAAGCCATTTCAAATTATATTCTAATGTTTATACTCAATAAAAAAATTACAGTCCACACACGTTATAATGTTGAGTTCCATTAAAATTTTGCACACGTAACATTTTACGTTAACAAAGATAGTGTAATCTGATGACAATTAAATAAATTCATCTACAGGTGAAATAAAGTCCTAAATAAACCAAATCGAAACAAAACTGCAACCGCAGTAGACGCACGCAACAATACAAAACACATCAAACAAGCCAAACAAATCAACTCACGTAATAACAATTAGCATTTTCTAACGGAAAATGTTGCGGACGAGCGGTCCATCGCAAACGTTAGGTCTTAAAGTGCATTGTCCCCTGCCTTCCGTCAGGCACAAGTCTAGACGGGTCCCCGTGACGTCAAAACAATTCCAAGCCGCCGAGTGAATTGTTGATGCAGACGTCTAATGCCGTCGGGTGTCTTGATTATCCATTGCGTAGGTAAGTCAAATGCCGTTGGTTCGTGTAGCGCAAGGGCGAGATTCTCGTCGCAAAGACAGTCTCGCGACTGGCTTAATATTTAGGTACACGTAGATACATTAGAGTAGATAGCATAGCAGAGGGATACCTAAGA